AATCCACCAGCTAGAATTGACAGGGGACCTGTGTGTCCAGCAAGAGGGTAGAACCCACGTGCAGTCCTGGTTCTGGCTACAGCCATGATTAGGGCCTGTCAGGGGAGAAATCCATAGTGGAATCCATAGTGGAAACAGTCCTGGGCTTCTGTGCTGGGCTTCTGTCCTAGGCCACCCTTTCCTAGCGGTGTGACCTGAGGCATGTGATTGGACGTTTCAGTGTCTGTTTCCGCTTCTGTGTAATCAAGAGAACGAGGACATTTTGCAGTGGTGTTGGGAGGATTAAACAAAACACTAGCAACTCCAGCACAGCACACATCCACAATAGATGTGAATGCTCTGTCTGCTAACATCCCATGCTAGTGGACAAATCTGGAAAGAGACTAGTATGCAGGAAGTAGAGAAAGAAAGTGAGTTTGGCCTGGGGAGAGGGACTGAAGAGGTTTGTGGGCTACTGGGGTGTCACCAGAGGAATATTTGTTCCCGGAAAGAGAAAGTACCCCAGTGAGGGCCACTGCCAGCCATCAGGCAGGTGGCCAAATGCTTTCACCTCAGAAGGGACTGCTCTAGGAGGGGCAGCCAGAGAAGACAGGCCCAGTGTCCCTAGGGGCAGACAGATGGCCACCCACCACTCAGCCTGTTGTGTCCAGCCTGGCAGGACAGTGGATGGACAAACAAAGCTGAGGATAGACTTGACCAAGCAAAAAAGACATTGATGGATGTATACAATTATTTCTTAGTACATGTACAATATATGTTAATAATAATGATTATCATAATAAATTTATGTAAAATTATATGTAATAATAATTATTATAGTTAACATTTATTGCTTGCCTGGCTGTTCGAAGTGCTTTATATGGACTAACACATAAACTCTCCAGAATCATTCCTCCAAAGCAGGTACAAGCTATTGTTATCAACACTTTACAGATAAGGAAACTGACACAGAACGGTTAAGTAACTTGCCCAAAGCCACACAGCTGGAAAGTGGCAGACCTGGGATCCCGAGTTCAAGATGCAGACGGTCCTTCTCTCCCTCTTGTTCAATGCTGTTATCCCACCGGACTGTGACTCAGGCTGCCAGCTAGCTGCTCTTCTGAGCCCCCGCCCAACTTTTACTTTCTCCTAGACTGGCTAAGCTTGGGATCCACAGTTACACGACCCCCTCCCTGGAAGTTCCAGAGCACCTGCCACACCCACCACAGGTTGCCCACCTCAGTGCCACGTGACCATTGCCCTGGTCTTGGCTTATCAGAATCTAGGCAGCCACCATAGCCCTGTCAGAGCTGTGAGCTGGCCCGGAATGAGGGTACTGCCTGGAGGGAGCATCCTGCATCAACTGGTGACTGATTGGTCCCATCAGATATAGAGAGGGTGAAGCAGAGAACAAGGGCCCCCTGAGATAAGAAAGCATCTGCAAGACTGGAACATAAGGGCTGAGGATGTCTGTGCTTGGGTGAGCGAACAGCAGTAAGGACCATGCACGTGATGTGGCAGGATGAGAGAAGTCAAAGTGCAGACTGAGGGGGGCATCAGAGTCTCAGCCAGGCCTGGATTCAAGTCCTGTCCCTCCACCTTTTCTTGCTTGTCTTTGGTAAATCCAAGCTAAAGTCAGAGGTAGATAGTAGAGTGGTTAAATCTGGGGATATTGTGGGGGCTCAGGAGCCAGATACTTAGACTCGAATCATAACCCCACCACTTACCAGTGTATAACCTCAGGCAACTTAATCTCTTCATGTCTCAGTTTCCTCATCTGTAGAACAGGAGTGATGACAGTTGCTACCACACATGCTTGCTAAGGGGATTGAGGTGCATGTGTCTACATGTAAGTGCCTGGTACAAATTATAACTGGGTCATGATGTAGCTTATATTAACGTTCTAGTTAGAACAGTATCTGCCATAAAATAACCATGGTGTCAGTTAAACAGATCTCTTTCATAGGACTGTTGGTGGGATTTTAAAGAAACACCATCTGACAATGGTATGCTTTTGTGCTTAGCAAATGTCCATTCCCTCTCTTTGTGAGGAACACGCATTTGAAACCCCAGAATCCTCCATCTTTTGGTCAATTGTTTCACACTGTGCTCCTGCAGCCCTGCACTCCCCCTACTCTGACTCAGCCTCTTGCTGGGGACCCCAGGCACCGCCCTCCCTGGCTGGCTCAGGTCCGAGTGCCCTGGGTGTGGGCAGCACATGGTATGCTCTCCACAGCACTTTCTTATTCATGCGCCAAGGATGCTGAGAACAACAGAGGGCACTGATGAGGGGTTGGGGGTGGGGACGCTGTGGCCACTATGTGACCTTGGCCAGGCTCCTGCACTTCTCTGGGCCAATATCCTCGTCTTTAAGGGGGGATAATATCCCTGCCCTTTGCCTCACAAAGCTTCTGTGAGCTTGAAATGAATGTCTACATGCACAAAGGGGCTGAAAGTGTGGCTACAGGGCATTATAATCATGTAACCAAAGGAGGGGCTTTATGGGACAACAGATGAAGAGCCTCGGAAGAGCAGACCCAGCCCAGCTGGGGAGGAAAGGCTTCCCAGACTGGTGTTTTGCTTTGAGCTGCATCCCTGAGACCAAAGTCTTCTGTGTAATCATTCACCAAGCTGACCCTGCCAGGGAGAAGGAGAGTGAGCAGGCCTGAATGTCATGGGGAGGCCAAATTTGGACATGGGTTAGGAGCTTGGCTAATGCAGGAGGTGAAATGTGGCCAGGGGCTGGGGGAGGGGAGGGACTGCATTCCCCAGGACGGCCTGGCGGTTTTAGTGATGACTAGGGGTGGGGGCTCCAGTCAGTCTCTTCCTAGGCTCAGGGGCTCATGACGGATTGGCACAGAAAATGTACTTCCTTTTCCCAAGGTGAGCTGTGTGCTCTGGGCCCTGGAAAGGGGGAGCCTACCCCGAAGAGTCAGGCAGCAGGCAAAAGGCAGGTGGGGGTGGGGAGAGGGTCCAGCCAGGGATGTGTAAATGGGAGGATGCAGGATGGGGGGAACTGCTCCACACACAGGCCCTTGGGGCTGAAATAACAAAAGCCACACCAGCGGCACTTCCTGTACTTCTGGGGTTAGAAAGTGCCTGCCATCTATTATTCATTCTTTCCTTTCTCCAACCAGAGGTCTGAGCCTAGCCTGGGTGAGGGATCATGAGGTAGGAGCCTGGTGTATTGAGTGTATGGGGATGCAGAGGGGGCATGTGGTCAGGGAAGGTGGAAGAAAATCTGGTTCAGGCTGAGTGGAAGCCAGAGACAAAGCCCCTGACAGCAGGGGCTGCTGCAGCTGAGTGTACATGTGTGCACCTGGGGAGGGCACCATTCACAAAGCCTACTCAGTCCCCAGGTTCGGGGGCTATAAATGGGAAAGAGGTGCTGGGGTGGGAGGAGGCTGCTTCACCCACAGAGTGCCTGTCCTCCCTCCCCTCCATTAAGGAGCTTTTTACAGTATGAATGGTGTCCCCTGGAGTTGTGCAACAGGAGCCCAGAGCCCTCAACCAGGCTACTAAACAGAGCCACTGACCTGACCTGCCCAGAGCTGAGGATGCAGAGAGGAAGCATGAAAGACTCCCATGTCCTCCCTGCTGGAAACACCTGGATAAAGCTCATTTCCAGAGGCCATGTGGGAAACTGATTGAGAGCAGGTCAAAGCAGCATGTTAGAAGAAAAAGCACAGCTGGAGTGCCGCCACCACCCCTTTGGCCCCTGCTCTTGGTGCACACTGCTTTCCAGGCCTCAGGACCATTCACCAACTCCTCCTTGAGCTCTGCTCTGGTCCAACAAATCCAGAAGCCCTGAATCCCACACCCGGGAGAGTGTACTCATGACATGACCCCCTGCACATGCTGAGCTGGACACAGGGCCTGTGCTTTCAGAGCTTCTATTCCTTGGAACATCACAGGTGTTCCAACGCTCCAGGCTGTGCATGTGCTTGGGATCATATGTGCAGATGGCATCTGTGAACAGGTGTATCCAGGAGCTTGTGGAACTGAAAGGGAATGTCTGTGCTGAATGGCCAGAAACCAACTAATGCTATGATTTCTGGAAGCCTGGGATGTAGTTAGAAGTCAGATCTCTGGGGAGAAGGGGAGTGGCAGGTAGTGGAGGCTGAGAGGAAAAGCCGCAGGCTGGGTGGGAGGTTCACACTCTTTCCCCCTAGTTCTTCTCCCCCAGTATGGTTCCAAGCCCAAAGACCCAGCTGTGTAGATCCTAGCTCTGCTTGGTCCTGAAGGGTTCCTGGAGAGCAGACAGGGCCCATCCCTCAGCTCCTGGAGGAAAAGTCAAGTCATAACTGTATGAAGGTCCTCCTGTGAGAGGTCCCAATCTGATAGGGGAGTAGCTTTCCTGCTCAAGGAGGCCTCACTCTGATGACAGAAACCAGATATGAACCCACCTCCCTCCATCTACTGCTCCGTTGGGGGCAGGGGTTGGGGACAGAGAAAGTCTCTAAAGGTTGGTGCTGTGACAGCTGTGCCCAGCTGCTAAATTTCCCCCATCCTGTAAAAGGGTAGGGTGCCTCCGCCTCCAGTGGCTGCCAGCCTGCCAGGCCAGCCTCTGAGAGAGAGCAAAGGGCCAGGAAAGCAGCCAGGCGCAGACCAGGGCGGGAGGAGAGCTGGGTTATAAATAGGCCTGGGACCAGGCCTTCGGGGAGAAGGAGGAGAGCCCTGCAGTACAGCGCTTCGCCGCCTGCAACGCGGAAAGACCTCTTTTCAGAGATCCCGAAAAGGTGAGAGGAGAGATGCTGGTCCCACTTTCCTGGCCTACCTCAGTGCCAACCCGGGCTGAGCTTCCAGGAGAAGCACCAGTCAGGCACATCTCTCCTTCCAGCCTCAGTTTCCCTCTGAGTCGCCCTCTGCAGACCTGTGTCGTTGCAACACTCAACGTCAGTCTGGCGGGGCCAGAAAGTCTCCTGTCTCTCAGCTCCAGGTGCTCTCCAAGGTTGAGAGCTGCGGCGTCACCTCCTCTACCCAACCCCGACCCCCGGCGGGGGCGGCCGGCCCCTCCTACCTGCAAACACCGCAGAGCAGTAAGCATCGCTGATGTCGGTGTCGGGTGTGTGGACGTTCTCAGCATAGAGGATGAAGACCCTCAGCATGCCTGGTGCGTGTAGGGCCCCGTGCGCCCAGGGCGCAAAGAGGGCTCGGAAAGGTCGGGAGGGCCGAGGCCCCGCTTGTGGGTCCCCTAGCTGGAGAGGGTTGGCTGGGCGAGGTCGGCTCGGATCTCTGGCCCCTGGCTCAGTGCTGTTGCTCTTAAAGGGGAACGGGCCACACCCGGCTGCTCCAGTGGGCTAGGCTGGGTACCCACCCACGCCGGGCTCACCACGCTTGTCAGTCGGCGTTCCGAGAACAGGGGCTTCTGCTCATCTTCCACCCCCGCCGCCCTTCCTCAGCTCCGACGAGCTGTAATCTAATGCTCCGGCTGCGGAGTCTCCCAATGACACGGCATTTTGCACCTGGCTGGGCGGCGGCCGCGATGACCGGGGGCTGGACCAGGGCTCCGGGCGCCCGGCGTAGCCCAGATCTCGCTCTTGGACAGGAGAAGGGCTCGGCTCCTCCCCCGAGCTTCCACCCCTGGCTGAGCGCTGCGCCAAGTCGGTTGCCTCCTTCCGCCTCGGGGATTGGAGCAGTCTCTCCAGAACCCAACCCAACCGCCCGGGTAGGACGGGGGATCCTGGGGAGGCTCTTTCCGTAAGAGAAGCCTGGAGCTGAGAATTTCATTGACAAGCAAGGCAGCTGTCTTAAAAACTTTGTCCCCTTTTTCTGGCTTTGAAAGCAGCACATGCCATTTTAAAACAAAAAGCATAAAGAAAGAAATCCCTGGTTCTGAAAAAAATAGTATATGAACATTTGGGTATTTGGCAGCCCAGGCTTTCTCCTCTGAATGTATATACACATGTAAACTGCAGTATTTATTATGTATCTGAGTGTAGAATGCAGTCTGTGTCCCACGTTTTCATGTAACATCTTGCATCATTCAAAAATTATTCATAAAGAATATTTTCAGTAACTATATAATTGTCTGTCATATGAATGTACTAGATTCACAAACTTTCTCTTCTTTCACATTTAGGCTCTCCCCAGATTCTATTATAATAGTGAGAAAGAGAGTTTCTTTTTAATAAAAAAATAGATAGAAACTCATCTTAGCCCCCCTCCCTCGCCGCCCAGTTCTTCAGATTAGATTCTAAGGTCATAGGATATGACTTTTTTTAGGTTCTAGTACCTATTGCTAAACTGCCTTCCTGCAGATATGTAGATCCACACTCCCGGCAGCCGTGACTCACCTTCTAAAGAGGGCCAGTTGGATGGGTGTGCAGCTGTCAGCAAAACTCCCACAGCAGCCCATGGGGGCAGCAGATACACCCAGGGCAGGATGGGCTGGCCGCTGACAGGTGGCTGATTTTTCCCCATAGGGAGATACCAGAAAAGAGCAACACTCCCCAAAAAGGTCTATAATTTCAAGGTTAGGGTAGCAAACATTTCCTGTGGTCACTCAGGGTCCTTCTGTAGTGATCTATGCCTTCTTTTCTTTGCATTTAGCACAATGTATGGTGGGGAGAGGAAGAAGAAGGGGGAAGCTGAAATTCAATCATTCATTTAATGGGAACGTATCAAGTTCTAAAATAAGTCAGGCCCTGTCCTGGGTGGGGGACACAGTGGTGGGCACAAGTGACGCAGTCCATGTTATGGGCTGAATTAGGTCCCCTCAAAATTTCTGTGTGAAAGGCAACTCCAATACCTTGGAATGTGATTCTACTTAGAGATAGAGCCTTTAAAGAGGTGAACAAGTTAAAGTGAGGTCATTAGGGTCATCCAATCTGACCAGTGCCCTTATAAAAAGAGGAAATTTAGATACAAAGACAAAGCAGGGATGCACGCACACAGAGAAAAGGCCATGGGAAGACACAGGGAAAAGGCGGCCATCTGCAAGCCAAGAAGAGAGGCCTCAGAAGAAACCAAGCCTGCTGACTACACCTTGATCTTGGACTTCCAGCCTCCAGAACTGTGAGAAATAAATTTCTGTTATTTAAGACCCCCAGTCTGCAGTACTTTGTTATGACAGCCCTAGCAAACGAGTAGAGTCCCTAACCTCAAAGAGCTTCCAGTTCAGTGAGTGAAACCGAGTTATGGAATAAACACGTCAGTCACATACCATTACAAATATGTAAGCGCCATAAAAGACAGAAAATGTGGGAGTGTGAGAACAGAGAGCAGGGAGTCCTCATCGAGTGCCCAGGACAATAAGAGCTACTTGAGATAAGATCTGAAGGCCAGCTCGGAGTTCACTGGGCAGGACTGAGGTGGGGGCAAGAAAGAGAGTATTCCAGAGAGAAAGAAGGAAGCGCTCTGTGTCAAGGTCATGGGAGGAGAGGAGTGTAGATTAAGGGGTTGTGGGATGGGGCAGGCAGGCTGGAGGGCACCATGCAGGGCGTGGGGGAAGCTTCCTGAGGCCTGCTAAGTCTAGAGGAGTGGCAGGATCTGATTTACGTCTCAAAAGCTCCCTTTGGCTGCCCTTGGAGAACACAGTGCAAGGGATCAGAGTGGAAGTGAAGAGTTAAAAGCTACAGCAGAGGGTCAGGGTGAGAGTTTATGGTGACTTGGACCAAGGTTGTGAAAAGGGGGATGGCGCAAAGTAAGGCAAAGCTAGGAGGAAGAAAGGAAATTCTGCAAGAGCTGGTGAAGCAATCAAGTTTCCCACTACAGAACTTGGCCATTATGTGTTGCTGGAGAAAACAGCTTTGGCTTGGATGTGGTAATTGAGTGATTGACTCATTCATTCATTCATTTACCAACATTTATTGGTACCTTCTCTGTGGCAAGCACTTTTCAGATTCAAGTTTTAGAGAAAGATACCAAGGAGGGAGTAAAATTTAATTGCTTTGGGAAGAAGGGCAGGAGGCCCTGTTGATGTAGGGAAAGCCCAAATTATGGTCTATTTTTGAAGAAGTACAGTTTGGCTCTATTCAGATGTATAAAGTAACATGAACCTGCTCTGTGGCAGAGCTAAAATTGGACCTAAGAAGTGGCTAGCTGCTTGCAAATATGGTGTGGCTACAGTGATTTGAAAAGAGCCAGTTTTCCTTATAGGTTAAACACCTTCCTCGCAACTTCACTACTTTATTCATACAGAAGGCTGTCTTCAAACTTTTTCTGTCTGTGCAGAAATAAACCTCTAGTGAGCATGTCTGCCCCCAACTTGTAGGACACATTTGGGGTATCTTCTCTATTTAAATGAACCACTTTCTCTGAGACTACCCAACCTGAATCAATCACATTATCTCCCAAAAATGTGGAATTGGGACTGAGAGAAGCTAGCTTCTGTGTGGCTGGAGCTGAGATGAATAAAATGGGAGGTTCAGAGGGGGCCCCGTGCATGGAGAAGTGGAGAAAGTTCCGCAGTCAAAGAAAAAGAGATCACATGTAGGGGGTGAGGTGGGGAAACCAAGACCCAGAAAGAGAGCCTTCTGGTTGTTGTTCCTGGCTCTCATTCCTTGAGTTTCCCTGCCTGTGAGTGCTGAGATACCTCTTGTCATGGATATTTGTCCTTTCTGGCTTCCAGCTTTTAATCTCCCTCTTCCTAAAACATCCTTTTCCCACCCCTCATGAGTGGTCTTGGTGGGAAGAAGTGCCTGCCTTTTTTCTGGAAGCTTCAGAGCTAGGGCCTCCCTCTCTGTGTCACTGGGCAGTGTGGCCCAGGCTCAGACAGTTGGATGCTCTCTCCCAAGACTTGAGACAAGTTCTTGAGCTTCAGGAAGTCAGACATGGCAGCTGCCATGTGACAGCAAATGACCAGGTATGGCGCCTGCTGTCCAAGTCCTGTCCATAACCAAAGCCAAGTTCTCCAACCTCCCTCCATTCTGTGAGCCCCCCAGAGCTCTTCTGAAATCCCCTCTTGTTTCAGATATCCAGGCTTGGCTGCTGTAGCTAGCAGCCAGGGATCCAGACCAACATGTCCAGTGTCTTTATAGTGAGTTGTTGCACATTTTACTTAGGGTAACTTGAAGCACAATTCTTTTTATTTTTTTTAGAGACAGTCTCCTTCTGTCACACAGGCTGGAGCACAGTGGCAAAACAGCTCACTGCAACCTCCAACTCCTGAGCGTGAAGCACAGTTCTGTTTCTTGCTATAAAAGAACAAGTTCTTGTGGCCCTGGTGACACTTTGATCTTGAGTTTCTGGCCTGCCAAACTGTGATAATAAATTTGTTTTTAAGCCACCATGGTTGTGACAATTGGTTAGAGCAGCCACAGGAAACGAACACACCAAGGCTTTGTCAACACAACCAACCTGTTAAAGAGGGCTGGTTTTCAGGCCACTTTTACTACTTTACTGTTTCAGGACAGAAACAAAGGGGAGGGAGGTGGCTCTCCAATTTCACTGAGAAACTAAGGGACAAGTTTGATACTATTTTCCAACAGAAAATAGAAAAAACAAACAACAACAACAAAAAAAACAGAAGAGATTTTTCACCAAAGAAGTAATGTGAACACACTACATTATTTCTATGTTCTCTGTCTTCTGCCAAAACCACAGATCCTTGCAAAGCTTGCTAAGAACCATAGACCCTGGTAACAGCCTGGTCATCTCATCTGCTTCCCCGAAGAAGAAAAACTCATGGTAGTCTCAGAGAGTTTCAATTTCCCAAGAATCTACCATAATAAACAGTAAACAATAAATAGAAACTATTTTCTGTTCAGGCATGGCTGCTGACACAATGGAAAGGAGTGAGCTCAGCATGAAGGTGCAGGGGTTTCTGAAAGCCCTCATTCCCCTTGTGCAGGGTGTGAAGAGCAGCCTATCTCCTGAGCTGCAAGAGCACAGCTCTGGGACTAATGTGAACAGGTCAGCCTGTGTGCACAGTTCTCCTTTTGGATTTAGTTCAGAGGGTGAGGAGTCTCTAGAGAGCATGAGGGAAAGCCTACACACACAGTGATTGTTAGAAGAGCCACTCTTTCTTCTTGAGCTGGGACATTCATCTCCTGCTTTTGGACATCACAGCTGAGCTCCTGGTGGCCACCCCACCTCCATTCCCAACGTGTGACCTTTTCTGATTCTCCAACACGCAAATGGCATATTGTAGGACTTCTTGGCTTCCATAATAGCATGAGTCAAATCCCGTAACAAATAGAGATTTATTTACTCTGTTTCTGCTTCATTTTACTCTCTCTGTACACATACACCTCCTATTGGTTGCTCCTCTGTAGAACCCTGATTAATACACACACAGAAGGCTTCTGAGAAGTGAGGGAGATCCAAACCTGAGAAGTGAGGGCAATAAGACTAAGGAACAGGAGTTCAACTTCTTCCCAAAGTAGGGTTATCTCATCTTCTGGAAGAGGCCACAACATCCCACAGGATGCAGCAATCCTAGCAAATGCGAGGAAACCTGTTCTGGCTCCAGCAGTGAGAAGAGTCAGGTGCTGGTGATGGCTGGTTCCTAGCTAGGGTACAAAATGAAGGCACGGGCAGAGCTGATGCAGGCAAAAAGAGCAGGTTTGAGTGTCCCTATTGCATGTCTCAGGGAAAAGAGGGGCCAGAAAGCTTTCTGCAGCTCACACCCCAAAGGACTCCTGTTGATTCATGGGAAGACATCACCAGAAAAGGCCTAAAGAACATCTTTAGGAGTTAAGAGGGCAACAAATGTCTCACTTTGTTTCCCTCTTGGCTGACAGCCAGGACTTTGGAAAAGGGGCACCAAGAGAAGTGAATGTTTGACTTATTAGTGTTTTTTGTTGTTGTTTTTTTTTATAGAGACAGGGTTTCGCCATATTGCCCAGGCTGGTCTTGAACTCCTGGGCTCAAGCAATCCTGCCTCAGCTTCTCAAGTGCTGGGATTACAGATGTGAGCCACTGCGACTGGCCTAGTGTTTCTTAAAGTACTATGAATCTAAAGGTCTCCTCCATCAGAATGTTCTTGTAAAAAATGGGGACACCTGGGTCCCCCTCCACTCCCAGGCCTACTCAATCAAAATCTCTGGGAATGGCCCAGGA